ATGTTGGTCAGGCTGGTCTTGAACTCCTGACCTTGTGATTTGCCTGCCTCGGCCTCCCAAAGTGCTGGGATTACAGGCGTGAGCCACCATGCCCAGCCAAGATTTTTTTGTATCCTGATATGGGATACATTTTGTCTTCAAATCATAGTGTCCACACACCCCTCTTTGCTACCCTGTAGTGTTACTTTATTTCTGGATGTTCTTATAGAAAGTTCGACACAGCAAACTGGCTGAGTCTGTGGAAAAGGCCATTGAAGAGAAAAAATACCTTGCTGGGGCAGACCCTTCCACTGTGGAAATGTGTTACCCTCCTATCATTCAGAGTGGTGGCAACTATAATCTCAAGTTCAGTGTGGTGAGGTAAGTGTAAAGACTTCATAATATAGCATTTTGACTTTAGCCTATTTTTTCTTTTTTTAAAATTCCTACAAATTTTGAGGTACATTGAAATTTGGCTACACGTACATAACGTATAGTGTCACCAAGTCATTGGGTGTCCATCACCCAGGTGCAGTACATTTTTGTTAAGTATAGTCACCCTACTCTACTGTTAGACATTAAATTTATTCCTGCTATCTTATTTTATCTTTGTACCTCTTAACCCACTTCTCTTCATCCTTGCCTGCTGGTCTCTGTTACCTATTTTTTCACTCTCTATCTCCATGTAATCCAATTTTTTAGTTCCCGCATAAAAGTGAGAACATTCAGTATTTGTCCTTTTGTGTCTGTTAATTTCACTTAAGACTAATTACAATTCACAATTCATAGAGGACTAGTGGATAAGTGACTGCTCATAACCATACCGTTAGACTATAATGGATACAATTCAGTGTATCTTTTGCATTTTTAGAATGCAGTGTACTCACTTTCTCACTGAATTTGTATCCTAAGAGTTATGGTCACTAACTTTTACTCCGGTTTATTGAAAACAAAACGCAAAAAAGTTTAGATCCTTACTCAGCCACAACTTTGGGATATGGCAGGGGAAAGTAGTGATTACTGATATCGATGCTGTTGATACCAAGGACTTTGCTAGTTTTGGTAATGAAATGTTTTCTTTCTTTGTTGGTCTCTAGTGACAAGAATCATATGCATTTTGGGGCTATCACTTGTGCCATGGGTATTCGCTTCAAGTCTTACTGCTCCAACCTTGTTCGCACTTTGATGGTTGATCCTTCTCAGGAAGTTCAAGAGAATTACAACTTTTTACTCCAGCTTCAAGAGGAGCTGCTAAAGGAATTAAGACATGGTGAGGTGCCTTAGAAAAGGAGGTTTGGAAGTTATGTAACAAAAATATCATTGGCCAGGAGCTGTGGCTCACACATGTAATCCCAACACAGGGAGGCTGAGGCTGGAGGGTTGCTTGAATCCAAGAGTTCGAGACCAGCCTGAGCAACACAATGAGGCCCCCATCTCTATAAGAAATTTAAAATGAAAAAATTAGTTGGGCATGGTGGTACATGCCTGTGGTCCCAGCTATTCAGGAGGCTGAGGTGTGGGGGAGGATCACTTGAGCCTGAGGGGTCAAGGCTGCAGTGATTCGTAATTATACCTTGGCAGTGAGTCATGATTGTGCCACTGCACTCCAGCCTGGGCAATAGGGTTGAGACCCTTTCTCAAACAAAAAAAATGTCATTAGTGTTATGTTTATGTCTCTGAGACTGTCATATTAAAAACAGAGATTTACAAATGTTGAATCATGCTAGCATGTAGGTCTTGAATCTGCATTTCTTTCAAGCATGAATGGTCATTGTAGTTTACATTGATGTTTATAGAAACCTCTTTGACTTGTTAGGCCTTCTATGTCCAGATCTTCACAAAATATCTTGGCCTTATTACTATTCTTTAGTTTTAGAAAGTTCTGAAAATTTGTGTTTTTGCCAACAGGATGTATAATGTTAATCCTACATCAAAACAATATGAAGGATACTGAGTTTCCAGATACCATTCTTCCACAGTGTCTCTAAGTCGGTCTTAAGAAGTCCTATTGGAAATCATAACCATAGATAGTTTAATGAAGATTAAGATCCCTCTGAGGCCATGATATCTAGACTACTTTTTAGTTTGACATAAACCATTCATAGTCTAGATCCTGAAAAATTAAGTCCACAGCCCTCATAACAGTAATTCACCCATTTAGTGATAAATGGAATAGGCCCACTACAAGGATCTGTTTTTGAAAATGTATAGTAACTTTAATGTGATACCATTTATCAACTCAAAGTATTTCCTTGAGACCAACTGGTGTTCCACTGTCCTCCTGGATAAGTGATTTTCAAATAGTAAGATTAAGAATGGGGCCAGGTGCAGTGATTCACACCTGTATTCTCAGTACTTTGGGAGGCCAAGGTGGGGAGGATAGCTTGAGCCCAGCTTTAGACCAGCCTGGGCAACATGGCAGACCGTGTCTCTACAAAAAATAAAAAATTAGCTGGGCATAGTGGTGTGCGCCTGTAGTCCCGGTTACTTGGGAGGCTGAAGTGGGAGGATCACTTGAGCCTGGAAGGGGCTGCAGTGAGCTGTGATCATGTCATTGCACTCTAGCTGGGATGACAGAGTGAGACCTTGTCTCAAAAAAAAAAAAAAAAAAAG